CTTTTATTTTTTTATTATACTAGGTGATTCTCCCGCGTACACAAGAATAAATTATTTATAAATTTTTGTTTTTAATTTTAATCTTTAAAAATGTGAAATATATAGTTATTTTCTTTTTTATTATAGACATTATTGTTGTTGATTCTTTTATTGTTAACTTTTTTGGTCAATAATATTGTTTTTATTGATAATATGAATTTCAGAAATTTAATTTTACCATTTCATTATTTTATATATGTAAACGTGTCAAATCATAATGTATAATAATTTAATACATTAGAGTTTAAAAATCATGCTTGTCCGAATATCTAGAGTAAAATTTAGAATAAAAAGAAACTATTTAATATTTTAAAACATTAAAATATATAATCATAAATTTTATAAATGAAACACAGATTAAAACAAAAAATTATTGCTTTCGAATTAAAAATTATTTTTTATTATTTTCCAATTGTTTTGCATAAAAAAAAATCATTTCAAAATAATAATTATATTTGTTGTTATAAACTTGGGAAATTTTTTGGGGCAATTGCAATAATGCCACTTTTAGTGTGTATATTTGCAAGAATGCCACTTAGAGGTGTTCATTTGTAAAAATGCCACTAATTATGGATTTTTAAAGCCTAAATCTTCAAATTATAAACCCTAAAAAAATTGACCTCTAGAACCCTCAAAACTAAACCCTAATACAACATAGTTAACCCAAACATAAATGATATAATAAAAAAAAATTTTGAAAGACATTTTTGCAAAGATTTTGAAAATGTGGTATTTTTGAATAATGGCACATGAAAAGTGACATTTTTTGAAACTTCTAAAACATGGGACTTCACAAACATATCAAAATCTTTAAAAATGTGACAATTGCAAAAATGCCACTTTTGGTCTATACATTTACAAGAATGCCAGTTAGGGTTGTCCATTTGCAAAAATGTCACTAATTATAGATTTTTTAAAACCTAAATCTTAAAATTATAAATATTAAAAAATATTTTGACCCCTAAAGTCCCTTAAACCCTCAAAAATAAATCATAATATAACATAGTTAACCCAAATATAAATGATATAAAGAATTTTTTTTGTTGAAAAAGTGGTATTTTTTGCATAGATTTTGAAAATATGGCATTTTTGAAAAGTGGTTTTTGAAAAGTGGCATTTTTTGAAATTTTTTGCATAGATTTGGAGTAGATTTTGCTATGACTAATTTCAATAATTTTCTTAAAATTTTGCAATGTCATAATATTTTTCAAGCTATGTCATAATTCTTTTGTGAAAGTGATTGTGAGAGTGATACATAAGTTTTTTCTCCAAAATTATTTCATAAATAATGTATAAGAGATAAGTCTATTTACACGGTTTTAGCAAAAAAAAAAAAAATCTATTTACACGGATAATCAAATAAGTTTATCCATCACAACACACAAATCAACCATGCATGCAAAAAATAGTTTGTTGCAATGAAATTAATATCCCAAGTTTATGTTAGGTGTTTGAATCTAGTTACGGAATTTATGGTCGTTTTGTTTTCCGTTAAAATTACTTATTTATAAATTAGATTAATTCCATTAAGAGACTTTTTTTTTTTTTTGGTAAAATCCATTAAGAAACTTGCTACCATCTATATTGATCTCTTTAATTACGACAAAAAAAAAATCTCTTTAATTATCATAAATTTACTGAGAAATCACAATCGTCTTTCTACCATACATATTAATTGATTTATTACGGCCTCTAAAAGCAGAAGCACATAGAGTTTTCGAGAACCGTTAGCTTGAAAGAACGAAAAAGATTGTTTTCCACATTTTCATTTACAAAAATAAGTCATTTTGTAGACAAAATCGATCCTAGTCTTTAGAAAGCTGCAAATTGATACTTGGTATGTTCAGGCTCAAGACTAGCTATTCGTCCGCTAAAGCCTCATACGACCGTCGATCACTTTACGCTGCAATCACATCCAATTAAACACAACACTGTTAATATTAAATACTCAAATTTCTTTTTGTCAAAAGATTTTCATATATACTTGTTGCATCCATATAAAAAAACACAAAAACTATATTAAAACATGGTTGGACCGGGAAGACTTCAAATCGTGTTTTTTTTTTTTAAATTCCCAAACCCAAATTTTCATTATAACATTTTTAATAAAAAAAATTCACGATCCTTTATAGTTTATAATATATACTTCTTGCATTTAGATTAAAAACCTCAAATTTCCATTAAAATATATATGTGTTGCAGTTGCACCGGTAAGACCTCAACTCGTGCTTTTATTTCATAATATAATTTA